AGAGATTGTTTTCGAAAGGCTGTCAAAAATATTAGCTCGTGTGGTGCTAAATGATGTTGTTTGGAGTAGTGTGAATAATGTCAAAAAGGGGTTAGACTTTTCTTGATGTCTTCCCTGAAAGTATACCTGGATTGCCTTCAGGCAGAGATATGAGGTTCACTATTGATTTGTTGCCAGGTATAAATCTATGTTAAAGATTGGTTCAGGATGAGTTAAGGGAATTGGAAATTCAGTTGAAAGAATTGGTTGATAAAAGTTTCATTCAACCTAGTACAACATTTTTGAGGAGCCCCAGTTTGTTGGTGAGGAAGAAAATGGACTTAGAGATTGTTCATTGATTATAGACAATGGAGTCGGGTAACGATTAAGAACCGTTATCCATGGTAATGTACTGATGTTTATTTAACCAGCTCAGAAGTAATTGCGAAGATTCAAAGATTGAATTGAGATCTGGTTACTACCAATTGAATATTATAAGTGACGTTGATCATAAGATGGTTTTCTGGACTCGTTATAGTCTTTATGAAGTTTGGTGATGCTATATGGATACTCATGCTGTTTTATGAGTTATTGGATGAAGTATTCCAATAATGCCTTGATAAATAGATATCATTTTCATTGAAGATATTCTGGCATATTCTGAGCCAGAGCAGAGCATGTAAACGTATTAAGTCGGTGGAACAAAGATTGGAAAGAATGTCGGTTGTATGCTAAGTAGCAAATGCTAAAGTTAGATGAATCAGGTGGCATTCTGAGATTTGTTATATATTCTTAAGGTATTCAAGTGAATCCTTAAAAGATAGCAGAAATTGAGAATTTGGAACAACCACGAGTCGTAATTGAGATTTGGAATTTCTTAGCTTACCAGGCTATCTTGGATGGTTGTGAAAGATTTTTCAGTCATTGCTTTGTCATTGACGAGACTGTTGAGAAAAGAGGTCATGTATGAGTGGGAAGGAAATTGTGAGCAAAGGATTCAACAACTGAAGTATTTTCCTCACTCATGCACGTATTTTGGTATTCCCAGAGAATAGTGGTAATCATATAAATTTTTAGTGATGTTTCTTGAATGGTATTGGATGCATGTTGATGCAAAATGTTAGGGTGATTGCATACGTTTCACGATAAATGGAATCTCATAAGATGAATTACCCTACGGGTGACTTAGAAATCATGATTACCATTCTTGCTGTGAAGTTATGAAGGGCATTATATTTGGTAAGAATGCAAGATTTTTACGAATCCAAAAAGTCTTTCAATATCCATTACTTGGAAGGATTTTGATATGAGGCAGCGAAAGTGAATTGTATTGCTTAATGAATAATGATTGTACGATCAGGGTGATCGTAAAGTTTGTTCTAAACTGAAGCACTTGGTGAGAAATACTACAGTAAGATTAATGTCTGGCACGTTTTGCCAAGAGTATCATCTTGTGGATTGAAAACCAACGGAAGAAAAATTAAGAATGGAAGATCGAGAAGAAGTTATACTTGTTAAATTTCAAGTTAGGCCTGTTTGGTAAGGTCGTACTTGAAACTTAAATGCTTGACGAAGAAATTTAAGAATTAACCAAGGTAGAGAAAGAAGGTAAGTTAAATCCTAAGTTAATCGGACTTAAGTGATTATCGAAAAGTTGGTGAAGTTGCTTACAAGCTTGTGATGCCCTCAGAATTGGTTAAGGTGCAAAACATATTTTATGATTCGATGCGTTGTCACTAGGTGGCAGATTCGTCACATGAGATTCTGGTGTAACTATTGAGAATTAAATTGGATTCGACTTGATAAGGAATCAAGGACGACTTTGGATTGGAAAAAGAAGGTCCTGAGAATTAAGACAGAGTAAGTAGTAAAAGCTTTGTGAAGGAAATCATTCAGTAGAAAAGTATGTGGGAGAAAGAGAATCGGATGAGAAAGATTTACCCGAAGCTATTGTTGGAGTATGGTTGATTTAGTTGGTTGCTGGAATTTCGGGGACGAAATTCTATAAGGAGGGAAGATTGTCACAGCCCGTCCCGGAATTTTAATTCCGAGGACATAAAAAGACGAAAATGCCCTTAAACGGGACTAAGGGGCGAAAATTTAACAATTTGGATTGAGTTGGACACGTGAGATCCCCACACCCCTCAATCCTCTCCCTATTTTCTGCATACTGTCTCTCTCTCTCCTCCCTCACGAATCTCTCTCTCTCTCTGTCACTCTTCTTCTCCGTTCGAACAAACCAACCACAAAACAACCTTAAACTTCCACCAACGACGGAGTTAAGACCACCATCGAACTCCTGGAGACTCCACGATCACGTAGACACCAATTTCAGGTAAGTTTTACTTCGGAAAACCTAGATTCTAAACTCCCCGTGAAAGTGCACTGTTCATGATCTTCGAATTGACTTTGTTTTAGGACAATCCAAGCTCATAGTGAGCTTTAGGATGTCCCAAGGAAGCTCGGAGTGCTTCGTTGGAAGTTTTTGGACGTAAGAACACGGAGATCGACAAGTTCAAAGTTTGGCCGGAGCTTTCGAGGCGTTTTCCGGCGAATCCCCGGCGAGTTAGGAGTCGAGGTAGGTATCAATCTCTTCGTCTCGTCAAGTACTATAACTTTCATTTTTGTTTCACTCAATTTCGTTGAGTATTGAAGAAGTTATACTCATTTGAAAAATACCCAGTTTCCGGCGACCTCCGAGGCTTTCGAGGCAGTTTCCGGCCAAACCACGGCTAACTAGGTGTTGTGCAAGGTACCATTCTCTTTGTCTCTTCAAGGGCTACAACTTTCGTTTTTGAATCACTTGATTTCGTTGAGAAATGACAAAGTTATGGCAATTTGAAAAAACTGCTCAGAAAACGGCCGCCGGAAAAACCAGTCCGGCGACCCAAGGAAGAAGAAGGTGCTACAGTAAAAAAAAAATAAAAATAAAATTATTTTAAAAATATGTCGACGTCCGTGACGTCGAGTAGATCACTGTGGTATATTCATATACCTAAATTGAACACCGTATGAGAAAGTTATTGAAGATTGTTGGTTAGGTGTTCAAATAACGTTTTATAGTTTTCACATTTAGGTGAAAATGTGAATTGATGATCCGACCGTTGGATCGTCACCAAACTTTGATACGTTGTAATACGTAATATTTTGAGGATTATTGGAACTTACGGATTGGGAATCCGAATTACGGATCTTCCGGAATTGGAATTGTAAGTCCATAATATAAAATGTTAACCGTCACTTAGTTTTGGAAATTGACGGAGATCCGACCGTTGGATGGTAATGAAATTTTAGGATGTTGTCCTAGAGGTATAATGTGGACCTCTGGAAGTTATGGATTAAAATCTGAGTGGTGGATCTTCCGGATCAATCTACGTAGTGACGTATTTTATATAAGTTATATATTCTATCGATATGAATTCTGAGGTTGGAATTGATTATTGTTTTAGGCGCCGATCGTCATGACGCCTTGGCGTATTGTGCTAGGGAGTTGTAGGGCGAACTCCAGGTGAGTGGGCAGTTTTGTTTTCCGTATATATATATATATACTTGACGTTTCCCAGAAATTGAAAATGCATGAAATTATGCTTTAAATGAAAATGCATAGAATTGATATGAAAAGTATATAGAAATGTGAGTTGAAATGCCATGCATGAATTAATATATGATGCATATGTATGAATTGGTGCGGTGGACGCACAGGTAAGAATTGATTTATGATGCATATGTATGAAATGGTGCGGTGGACGCACAGGTGAGTATTTAATTACTGTTATGATGATGATTGATATATATTGAGCTCAAAATCCTGCACCATGGTTTAGTGCTTATAGTATTCACCGCATCGCACGCTCGCCTTGGATCCAAGTAGATGCTAGTCGTACAGTCCACGCGGAGTGGGTACGACAGACCAGTCGCGAGAGTGTTAGTGAGATTCCGACTGGTGGGGTGACCTTAGATTATGTGCACAGATGATTTATGAGAAGCACTAGAGCGTAACTTGTGTGCAGAAGGCCGGACGGGTCACAGAGGTGACTCCGGTAGAGTGATAATGATAGATTTTGAGCTCTAGGTTCAACCGTACAGGGCTATTAGAGGGCCTCCGGTTGATTACTTTCTTGCACCTGATATGATTATTGTTGATGCATCCATACTTAACTGTTGAATTAGACATGGCATGGCATGATTGATAAAGAAAAAATGTTGAGTTAATGAATTAAAGTATTGAGAATATATATGTATATTTATATTTTACATTTCTGGGAAAATATACAGGTTTTACAGAGAGGGGTTACAACGTTTTGAAAAATGTTTGGATTTGGAAAAGAATTGTTTTACTGACCCACTCAATTTTGGTTTTGCGCCCCTCCAGGTTCAGGAATCACAAAGGTGTGGTGACTACGAGGAATACAGCGGGGTTCTGACAGATTGGACAAAATTAGGACTCACCTTCGGGTGTATCAACTTATAAATTGTATCTTAAAGCTTCCGTACTGTGCAAATGGTTACGTCACTCTCACGTGACGGCCAGCATGCCCTCCTTCGGGACGGGGTGTGTCATTAACTCAGTAATGATATCGTTTTACTAAAAAAACAAGCTAACTGATAAAATATGGAATTGTTTTACAATATCCCTTCAAACGAAGCCACAGTCAAAAGAATTAAGGTTTTATATCAAAACAACCCCCATGGGGTTGGTATGGTAAAAACCAAGCACAAAGAATTGGGCTGATTTGATATTGTTGTAATGTGAGAATAAGCAGCTGTGAAATAAAGCAGCAGAGTGTTTGGTAAACTTTTTTGTAAAAGTTTTTTTGAATAAAAAAGAAGTATTATAGTATTTGATAAACTTTTATGTAAAACAAATGTGAAAAAAAAAAACTGGTTTTTCAAAGCTGGGTTTTGCAGCTTTGTGTTTTTTGCTTTTTTTCACCTAAAACTGTGAAAAAAAAGCTGAAGCTGAATGTTTACCAAACATAAAAAAAAGCTTTTGATAGCCACTTTTTTCAAAATCACCTCTGTATCAAAAACCAGGGAGGCTCTGTAAAGTTGCTCCATGTTAGGAATCTCCTTGAGTTCGTCGGCAGCAACTTCAAGCGCAGTGTGTTGGAAAAAATGGTAGAATTTCTCGCTGCAGATGAAACTAAAAAGCAATTACACGATAGAAAGTGGAAGTAAGAATGGTGCATAGTAGAATTTCTTCACCCCAAATAAACCAAACATGGTAACTTGGTACAGTATCAGAGATGCAATGAGTCCAACTTGGATGTGCGGCCACATCCTTCCATAGCTTTCGTACGATGGAATGTAAACTTTTGAGTGCCTGCTCGATGAAACAACAAAAGCTTTAGTTTTCGAAAGCATATGCTTGCTTAGGAAAAAAGTAGGCTAAGTTGTATATCCCTTCGGTAGAGTTTTTTGACTAAAAACTTGCAAGGTCGGAAAAAGCTGAGGATACCTGATTTCGAAGGACAAGCCATCCAAGGCCAAAGTAAAGCACACCAAATGGAAGAATCAGCGGAGCAATAACAGAGTAGCAGAGGACAATTGTAATCATGAGCATATCACCGGGTACTCTGGTCCCATATCCAAGACCACGAGGAAGCCAAGCTGCTTTCACCTCATCTTCGGACTTACAGAAATACTTCCACTTCGTATGGAAAATTATCAGAGGAACTAGTCGGGACAGTTCAAGATCATATCCAACGAAAAACATGTCATCAACGCAATTGCGAAAACCAGTTCACTGCAATAAAAGCAGAAGTGATATGATTATACAAGAATCGAAGTCAATTTGCTTTATAAAAAGAAAATAATAATAAATAATAAATAAATATGAAACATGATTAGCAGGTTGTGTGCCCTTTTGATTGGATGGTACTTTGGTTTTTGAGGGACAAGGAATTGGAGTGTTTTGGTTGAAGGACAAAAGTAGAAATATTAAAGGGAGTTTTAACGAAAAGCTCACGGTACTGTTCTCTTTAACGAAAAACCACATTTTTATACTAAAAAGTCAAACCTGGTACTATTCACTTTACCTTTTATTTTGTCCTTATCATTAAAATTCAAAGTTTTCAAGTCATTTTCATTAGTTTTCCTAATATTAAAAGCTTCATGTGTAAAACGTTCTCGTGTCGTTGATAATGTTTATATGACATAATTTGCTGACTGCAATGACATCGACACATATTAACTTAAAGGGGTGTGATATTCACACATCCTATTTTACTTCTCACACACATTTTTAATTTTCGACTGTCGGATCGGATGAATTGAAGAAGATCAACAGACATAAATTATCAAGAGATGTGTGAGAAGTAAAATGAGGTGTGTTGTAGCATCCCACATCGCCCAGGGGAGTGATCCTTAAATGTATATTCTCATCCCTACCTAGCACGAGGCATTTTGGGAGCTCACTGGCTTCGGATTCCATCGGAACTCCGAAGTTAAGCGAGTAGTGCACGAGAGCACTCCCATGATGGGTGACTCACTGGGAAGTTCTCGCATGAGATTGGGAAACTCTGTATTTCCAAAGATGGAAATGTTGCTTGCAGGAAATTTTTTTTTTTTCTTTTTTGAACAAATGCTTGGAGGAAATATAAATGTGGTAAAAATGAGTAATCTGCAAACGTGTGACTGCAGCTTGTGAGTAATGTGATCCCTTTAAATAGAAAGAAAAAAAAAATGTTATAGTTATGTATTGATATGGATGTTTTGTAAAGTATAAATCGTCCATTGAAGGAAGCAAACAAGCAAGACTTGGCGGTTTTAAAATTGTATAAAATAAATCGATTGAAAAAGGTTATGCCCCAATCGGCTTTTGTGACGGGGAGATAAATTCAGGATAACATATTAGTGGTGCATGAGATATTACATTCTCTCAAGCAACAGAGTAATAGTGAGGAGTCTTTCATGGTGATGAAATTTGGATATGGCTAAGGCGTATGGCCGGGTTGAATGGCCATTTCTCTTTGCCATGATGCAAACATTGGGGCTTTCTGAGTTTTTGTGTCGAAGAATTGAAGAATGTATATCTATGGTGTTTTATAGTATTTTGATTAATGGGTCGTCCACAGGATTCATACAACCACAATGGGGATTGTGGCAAGGGGATCCTATGTCCCCGGCTTTGTTGCGACGAAGAGATGAGATGGGTGGTCTCCACGGCATTAGGGTGTCTAAGGGAGGGTTGCCTATTTCACATTTGTTTTCTGCCGAGGATGCAGTTATATTTTGTAAAACTTCGGAAGGTGAAGCGTTGGAGGGAGGTTATGAATGTGTTACAAATTTATGTGGACGGTTCTGGGCAAGTTATAAACAGGGAGAAGAGTTCGTTTTTTTTTCGGTGCTCATTGTGCGAAGAAAAGAAGGAAAAAGACTGTGGGGTGTACAAATATCAGGGGAAGGGATGACTTTGGGAAGTACCTAGGGTTATCTGCGAACTTTGGTCATTCCAAAACTGCGGTATTCAAGGAAGTGAGAGAGGTGCTAAACGGTCGGATTAATGGATGGGCCGAACAATACCTTCTTTGGCGGGGAAAGAGATTTTAATCAAGGCGGTTGCTATGGCCTTGCCAAACTATGCGATGTCTTATTTTAAACTACCGGTCAAATTGTGTAAAGATATGGAGAGGCTGATTGCAAATTACTGGTGGCGTGGAAACAAACGGACTAAGGGCATGCATTGGATTTCTTGGGGTAATGATGAACCCCACCTCATTGCTGGCTCGTGTTCTCAAGGAAAAATACTACCCGGATAGACCATTTATGGAGGCAAAACAAGGGAGGCGATCTTCGTGGGGTTGGAAAGGTACACTTCAGGGACGTCATATTTTGGAGCGGGGGCTAAGATGGAGGGTTGGAGATGGGCAGAGTATCAGGATTGTACATGATCCTTGGATTACGTTCCGTATACGGTCTAGGCATGCGGAGATGCCGGTGATGGTAGGGGAGTTAATTGAGCATTCTACGGGATCGTGGAAAAAGGAGTTGGTACTCAACTATTTTGAAGAGGAGGAAGCAAAACTTATACTGGGGTTGCCAATTAGTTTCGATGGTTGTCATGATAGACTAATTTGGCATTATTTTAGGAATAGAGAGTACACGGTCAGAAGTGGCCCTGGAATGGCTATGGATCTTCAAGCGAATGGGGAATTGGGTAGGAAGGGTATGGGAATGTTTGGCAAGATGTATGGAGGCTAAGAGTACCAAATAAACTGAAGTTTTTTCTATAGAGGTGTTGCAACAATACTTTGGCGATGCGAAGGAATCTAGCCCGAATGAGGATGTGAGTGGAGACGACATGCGTTTTGTGTTTATGTATGTTCAGCGGAGTGGCAACCTCGATACCCATGCAGTGGCTTCCTATGCTACCTCACGTGGTGGTTCGTTCCTGTGGAATGCTTATGGTCCTGAATTTCATTTTAATATTATTGCAGAAGACCCATGTATGATATTACTATATACTAAAATCTAGTTTTAAAAAAATTAAAAAAAATAAAAAAAATAAAAAATAATAATAAAATAACTCTTTCACCAATAGTGATTTGACTGTTTTGCCCCTGTCTCACTGTTTCTTTTCTTTTTTATTTTTCAATATGTACAATAAAATGACTAAAATGCCCTTTAGTCATCTGCTTCTTTCCGTTCCCTTCGCTTTTCCTTTCTTTCTTTCTCCTTTCTTTTTATCCCGACTCTCTCTCCTCGCAACTCACTCCGGTTTGTCCGACTAATTTTCTTCGAATCTGGGCACAGCGTGGCTCGGATCACCCCTAAATGATTTCTATTGAACTCAGGTGAATCGTAGAACAATTGCATGTCAATTTTCATTTGGGTTTTATTGCTTTCACCCCTTCTTATTTAGTCATTTGGAGGGTTTTGTATGTTTCTTGGGTGTTAATTATATTGGTTTTATTGATTTTTTTTTTTGTATGAATTTTGTTTGATAGGAGGCCGGTTCAGTGTGTAAAAGATTGTATTGGTCCTCTGTATTTGAGGGAATATTGTCATATAATCACTATAATTTTTGCATGGGTTCAAGTTAATTACTTCGAGGGTGAACTAATGTGTCATATATGTTTCAAAGATATGAAATAGATGTAGGATTCATAAAGGTAATTAAGGTAATATTTCTGCAAGATTGAGCAAAAGAGAGGATCAATTGAAAGATGCACAACCATGAAGCTAAACATTATGGTAAATATCTGGATATGAATACTGCTTCCAATCCCCGTAGAGAGGCCGGGAAGAATTGATTGAGAATAACAAGACGATTGACCCATTTTTTTCATCTTAAATAAAAACATCATGCCCTAAACGCGAAGGTGAGTAATAAGCAACCGAAAAGAAGAAAAAAATAAGAAAACCGAAAAGAATGCTTTTCAAAGTGTATTGATTATCAGTGGTCACGTAAATTCCAGTATCCCCTTTTCTTTCACAATCTAAAATGGAAACAGAGGATTTGCTAGTTCATTGTGACGCTTAGCTCACTCCCCCACTTCCTTAGTATAGATAATATCGTTTGTTTAAGAAAAAGAAAAAATTGGAAACAGATGATTTATAGAGATTGCTCACACCCCCAAAAGACTGTGATACTAAAATTAATTTAAAGTTGCATTCAACTAATTGAAACATTATACAATACTAAATGGCTTATTATATTAGCATCCCACAAATTGTTGAATAAACCTCACATACTTAATACCCTCACATTTGCTTTTTCAATGAAAAATTAACTTAATACATCCCACATACTTCCTTATAATACTCTCACATTCTCAATATACACCTTACATTTTCTACATGCACCCCATATTTTCTATACATCCCACATTTCTCAAATCTTATAAAGCTTTTAATTTGGACAAAAAATGTCGACTGGAATTTTGACAAAAGATGCCGCTTTAAAGCATATGTGGGTTGTTTTCAATTCCACCATTAAAACTCATGTTGTCTGTTTTTAATATTTTGTGGTAATTTTAAGTGTTTAATTCTTCATATAATCCATGTGATCCCTAAAAGATGAATACGAACATAGAAGCTTGAACAACGCAGCAAAAGCAAGATTAAATAATTATTGATGTCATCAAAATCACTCAAACAATAAAAAAATATGAAGTCTTACTTCATATGAAGCTTCCGAAACATCAATTTCGTGTTTCATTCGTCAAAAATAATTTTTCTCAATCAACATGTTTGTAGTTTCATTGGTTAAGGTTTTGTTCAACAATAAAGGGTCAGAGATATTTTGATAGTTGAAGAAGATAAATAATACGTTAAAAGTGATTTGGGATGTATTTAGATTTTATTTTTATTTTTATAAACCTAATAAGGTCAAAATTGTCATTGCATAGTAGGATAAATAAATTATTTAATATTAAATTTCAATGTAGATTGCATTCAACATTTTGGGGGATGCTAGTATAAAAAGCCTACTAAAGTTCACATAGTAATTGCAATACATTTTAAAAGTCATTAAGATTATGGAAACGTAATTGCTGGAGTTGTTAAGAAATTTGTATAGCTTGGGCGGGCTCTCTCGTTGGATTGCCCATCAACCGCACTTTCCTCCTCCTTAGACCTGTCATCCAACTTATATAGGTTGTGCAACGTATGTCATTTTTAATACTATTTTTCTTTTATGTATCATCTGATATGATTAGAGACGTTAGTCGGAAGTGCAATTTGAAACATTTCAGTGCCAGATATGTTCATCCTGTAAGGCTATATATGCTTTAAAACAT